CCATATTGGGGGGGGGGGTGGTTCCAGGGATTGAGCTCAGGTCAGTCACATGTGTGTTACTCATAATAAATGTACAGAAACCAAAATGTAAAACATGACTCTATTAACAATCACTCCAAAACTGAAATACCAATATGTAAACCCAATAATTGAGTAAGGGATCTAAATTGTAAGAAATTTCAAATTCTGGGGAAATTCAATGGACATAAATAAATGCAGAGATTAAGCATATTTATGGTAAGATTCTATCCAGTGTATCAAGATACATATTAAGAGGAATTATATACAAATATATATTATACATTCTATACATATACATAGCCCACATATTAAGAGGAATTATATAATAAAAGAATAACATTTCATATTTAAGGTGTATAAATGGGCTGGAGAAGTAGCTCAGCAGGTAAAGGTGATTGCTGCACAGGCCTAAGGGAACGAGTTTCATTCCTGGAACCTGTGTAAAGGAGGAAGGAAAGAACTGACTCCATGGAGTTGTCCTCTGACTTCAACAAATAATCCATAGCACATGTACATGTGCACACACACAATAATAATTAATAAATAGAAGTTTAAAAACATAAAAGTGAAAAATGTATGCTTAACTAAAACGTATGTGAAACAGGATTAAGAGATGGTTCAGCAGTTGAGTTATACCTGCAGAGGACCGGAGTTCAGTTCCTAGCACCCACACTGTGTGGATCACAACCTCCTGTCACTCCAGTTCCAGAGCATCTCATGTCCTCTTCTGGCCTCCATGAGCACCAGCATGAATGTGTACATTCATACATACACAAGCACACACACATACACATAAATGCATCTTAAAAGCACGTAGAAACAACTCACTAGTAGGTTGAATGAGTACTCCACCATTATATGAATAGTTGCTTTACTTCAATATGCAAAGATATTTGTTAAATCTCAAAATCTTTTCCTCTTTTCTCACTTAATAAGCTAGAAAACATACTTTTAAAAAATTATATTTTATTTCCCTCTCCTTGTGTGTTAACAAGTGCGTGTGTGTGTGTGTGTGTGTGTGTGTGAGAGAGAGAGAGAGAGAGAGAGAGAGAGGAAGTATGTGTGGGGTGGGGTGGGTGCCTGCCACACAGCACACAAATGGAGGTCACAGATCAACCTGCCGGAACTGGCCCTCTCCCTCTACCACGTGGGTCCCAGGGATCAAACTAAAGTTGTCAGACTGGCAGCAGGCACATTTACCTGCTGAGTCATCTTGCTGGGCCTAGAATACTTCTTAAATGACACAGAACATACAACTCAAGCAAAGCAGCCAAGTTCATGCTTAAAAATTCACCAAAGAGGCAAGACTGTGAAAAGTGGGCTAAAGGTAGGGCCGGCGGAGGGTGGAAACATTGCTGTAGTCCTATTGAGTTCAGCAGGAAGGCCACTGTAATGGATAGACCATTCATTCTGACAGGACACATAGACTCCAGAGGCAAAGCTTAACCATCTCCAGTATTTAATTTCTCCCCACTAGCATCGCATCTACGTACTGACAAAGATAGGTCTTCCTTGCCATGTTTTACTGCTACTTTTTCTCCATATTCATCAAGAACTCCATAAGATTCTTCCATAGTAGAAATAATCTATGAAAAAATGCAAAACAAATTGAATTTTTTATAGTCAAAATGTAAAACTAATCATGACTTTATAAAAATCAATTGATTGCTGCTAGTGGCATAAATGTCCATCAAGTATCATCATGAAGACGCTCTAGTCAATGATGTTTGGCCCTGTTCCTGCACTGCAGAGATGCTCCAAGGCTCTATCCTTCCTGTATGAACAAGTACCTAAAGACGGTAGGTGTGTCCATGCATGGCAGAAGCATTAAGCAGAGTTCTCCTCAGTGTATCTGTCAGATTCTCTTCTGAAGGGTGTACAGAAAATAGAGCCATGAAGACCAGAAGGCAATCCATTTTTTTTTTAATTTTGTCTTTTTGAGACAAGATCTCCATATGTAGCCCCAGCTGTCCTGGATCTCACTATGTAGACCAGGCTGGCCTTGAACTCACAGAGATCCACCTGCCTCTGCCTCCCAAGTGCTGGGACTACAGACGTGCACCACCACGCCTGGCAGGCAACCCATTTTTACACAACATTCTCTGAGAACATGGACCAAACAGGTATTTTAGCAGTAGGATGAACTGTGATCTGTCTATATCAGTGGCCTCCCTCAGTGTTCTCACTTAATATTTGGTGTATTTACAATTCAACAGTCAATCATTGTGGAAGAAGAAACTTTGAGATGGATGATTTCTTCAAACATTAAGTGCTATAGCTAGTTTCTGAAGTGCAGACAAGAGTTACCACAGTAGGCTTGAGATTTTGAAAGGTCTGTCCTTACAAAGTCCTCACTGCAAAGTTGGCCTTAGCCTGGCAGCTGAGAAGCTGGCTTTCCAGAAGCTAATCAGAGTGGCTTATATACATAAGCTGTTTGAACAAGCTTATGCTGAACACCTGCTTTCTTTGGGTGCTTGGGATTTTGGTATGCACTAGACAAAGAGCACTTGGGTGACGATCGCTTAATACAACTCTGGGTACTGTTTCTAATGATTTTCCAGGTACACATTCTACTTTTGCTGTCATGATTCATTTACTGAGGAACTAAACATGCCCTGTGTGACTCCAGTTAGAGAACACTTGTAGTCTTGGTTCCTGATCTCCCTCCACATGCTGGATGCAATAAATCTTATCATTGGTAGAACTATATACTGTGTTCATTATAACCAAAGCTGATTCTCTTGCTTCTTGATGACAAATCCCCATACCTGTGGACACCTTAGGGACACCCACCCAGTATGTGAGCCAGTAAATAGCTTACCATCTTCAGCTGTTCAGTGATCCTCCTGAGCATTTCATTTTCTGCTAATAATTCCCTTGTCTTACTCAATGGTATTGGCAAGGCATACTGTATAATAGATTCTCCTGTGGGTGGGGATCTTAGGACCATTGGTTCAATTTTATTATGTATTGATTTAGCACCATGTTTTTCTTTTGGCTTAGGTGATGAATTAAATAATCCTTCTTTATAAGGTAATTCTGGAACACTTGCCAATTTCTTACTAAAGGCTGACAGATGCCTTGCTGGTTTCATCTTATAGCTGATTTGGCTTCCAAATTGTATGTGAAAAATTAATATTTCCTGTGAATAAAATATTAAGAGTTTCAAATAAAAATACAGCACCATGTTAATCAACTAACAGAATTAAATTACCCTAATGAAATTCATATTTTTATTGTTCTGGTACTTTACCAATTTGCTCAGGCTACATTGTTATGGTGTGAATATGAACTGTCCTGGACAGGCTCGTGTGGTGAATGTTTGGTCCCAAACGGAGGCACTATTTTGTGAGGTGAGGCCTAGCTGAAGGAGGTTGCTAAGCGGATGCTGACTTTGAAGGCTCACACTTGCCTCATCTCTCTGCTTCCTGTCTGCTGTGCTGTGAAGAGCCCTGTCCTCCACAAGCTCCTGTCATGCTGCTCTGCCTTACTGTGGGTCCAGAAGCACAGCACCAAGTGACCATGGGTTGAAAGCTCTGAGTCTGTGAGCCAAACAGATAATTCCTCTCTAAAAGTACTCTGGTCAGGTAATTTGTCCCCAGTATTAAAAAAAAAAAAAAAAAAAAAACTAAAACATACACAAAAGCTCTTCTGGGATCCATCATTATATTTTTAGCTATTTTAAACTAGAATTAAATAAAAAAAATGAAAATTACACCAAGAACATATTTAAACCTGAATATGACAACTTAACACTAAAAGACCCATCAAGCCAAAATGTATTTTATATACATCATCGTCCCCATTTTGCATGTGAGTAAACCAATTTCTGAGACGTGACTCACAGGACATGCTAGGCTATGAAGTGTTATGGTTGGAATTTTAATGAAGACCAAGGTGACCACATATTCTGCTTCTTTTCTATGCTGTCTGCTCCAAGTGTCCTCATTTTTCATCTTTAGAATTTACAGTATTTTGTATAGTGACAGTACTATATCAGATGGTAGATGAGCCTAGGCCTTCTTTATAAGGTCCCTAGTCCCATTTATGAGGATATTGTACTGATGACCTCATCACCTTCCAAGGCTATGAACTCCTGACACCATCCCCTTGGAGGTCAGGATTTCAACATGAATTCAGGTACAGGGGCACAAACATTTAGACCAGGAGAAACACCTAGCATCAAAGGAGAAACACCATGTGTGCGCACGTATACATACTTCCATTTCTTGAGAGGCACTCAGATTAAAAATGACTTTTGACCATTTCCTAATAACACAGTCTCAGTAGCTATTTCCCACAATGCATAAAAGTCTGCAGGACAAAACAATATGATACTAGAAAAATAGGAGCATTAGAAAATAAAACAGCAGAAAAATGACACATATGAAGATTATACCAGAGAGATTGAAAAGAAAAAATAGCATTTAAAAAGTCGATGTAACTGATTGAACCTCTGCAGAGTAAGTTAAGAAGAGTGGAGATCAGACCAAGATGATATGTCAGAGAACAGCAGAAAAAATAAGAGAAGCAATGAGGAGAAAAGTAGTGAAATGAAAATCAGAATTCAGAGATCCATGGAGCTGTGTAAATGTCAACAATCAGAAAATAAGAGTCAGAATAACTCCGACAGGTAATGAAGAGTACTGGAATGCATAGACCAAAGTGTTCACAGAACACTAACAGGACTCAAACAAGAGCACAGAGCTAAGCACATTATAATGAAGTGTAAGACGCTCAAAGAGAAAGTAAAAAAAAAAAAAAAAAAACTTTCAGAAAGAACTTGAAATCTACAAAGGAGGAAAAATGAGTTGTTAATGTCATTTAAGGATATTTCTTCTCCAAACTTCACATTTTTTGAGAACTGAAGAACGAAAACATTTCAAAGAACGAACCAGCAAGGGAGTGAGCAGGGCTGAAGCAATGGCCTGTGACTGGAGCCCTCATCCCCGGCCAGGGCCAGAGAGCACGTGTTTCAGGAGCAGGGTCTCGTGCAGGCTGCAGTAGGCTGGCAGATGAGAGCTGTGGAACCCCTCCATGCTGACTACCCCTCTTCCAGTAACCCCCAGTCCTGACCAGCAAGGCTGGAGCTTGCCCAGGCACTGAATGGCTCATCCCAGGTCTGTGCTCTAAACTGGACTCCCTTCAAATCCAGGACAGAGGCCACAGATAGGTGATCATCACATTTCCCAACTACGTTTCTTGTCTTGATGTTTTCTGGGCACCCATGCAGCGTCGCAGTTATAATAGCTGGGTGCTGCCTCCTGCTGGCACCTCTCCATCCAGGGATTAGGGAGTCCCCAGTGAGTGGCCTGCAACTACTCTACTTCCATTCAAGAACACGATTCTTTTCCCTCTCCACTGGAAATCCTATCTCAGAGGTCCAAAGTTCCCTAGGCTTGTGTATCCTTCCCCAGCTCCTGGAGCTCACTTAGGAACACTGGCTTCATACAAGGCTGTGACTCTTTCATTCTTGACTTGGCTTTTTTCTCTTTTAGTAGAAAATAGTTGACCTCACCGTCTTGACTGGTACTCTTCACTAAGGGATCTTATCCATTTGGCTACCTCCCTGACTATTTCAATGTGACTTCCCCATACATCTGAGGTCTGGTGTCCTCTGTGCTACATTCTCCAGCTTCTGTGGAATCTGATCAGTCTTGCTGCTGGGTGGGAGTTAGAGGTGGCAGGGCTCTGGACCAGGATTTATGATCCTGGAAAGCAGCTCCAAGGCAGAAAAGGAATTGGGCAGAAAAGGCCTGAACATGGCAGCTCTACTCTCCACACACAGGCTGATGAAAAGGTGCATGCTATCAGCTTGCATGGAGACAGTTCCAGAAGCCCAGAATGGTTTGAGCAGCCACCACCTACTTTGTACAGAGTCTCCTCAGACATGAGCACAGCTCAGAGAAGGAAGAGGTTTCCGGGTGACCAGAAGGCATTCTCTTGTCAAGGGAGAGTACTTACTGTGCTGAAGGTGGTAAAAGATCTGTTATCCTCTCTGTGCTTTCATCCTCCGCACAAGGTTTGTGTCCTGGACTATGTTGGTTTGGTGCGAGTGCCTGCTACCCTCAAGGAAGATCTGGATACCCTCAGTGAAGGATCAGAACAACGGAATCTAATCAGAAAAGGTCATTCCAGGAAATACACATACTTAATTCAAGAAAAACTTCTGAGCAAACAAAAACAACTGGAGAAGACTGAGTGGGGAGCTGAGCTCGAGCAAACTCTGGATCAGCACCACAGAAAGGAGGGAGCAGATTTCCCAGTTGACTTCTTAAGCAAAATGCATCAAAGCCAATGTTCAGTATACATTTAGCTTGCCTCCCACCGTAGATGGACTGCAGAAGACAGTAGTTTCCACTGTCGATGTCTTAAACAGCGTCCATCTGGCTGCGGAGGCAACACATAAAACTGAATGAACAAAAGGGAATTGTCACAGAGTGATATGGAGACCCATGGGAACAACTGGATCATTCCATCACCTTCAGTGACATCTGAAGTTGACAGTGAACCACAGTGAGAATCTGAAATCGGAGGAACATAGAGCTGCAACAGCAATGATACTTGTTACATCTCAGACTCTGTAACTGCTTCACAAATCAGAACAGACAGACAGACAGACAGACACACACACAGACACACACACACACACATGCACGCTCACTCTCTCAGTTTCAGGTGCTGCTAGAAACTGCTGGAAGACTATTCGTTGTTCTCAGAAGACCCAAATTCTGTCCATCGCCCTGCTGCCCAGAAGTGAGATGCAACCAGACTACCAGCAGGAAGCACAGATCACATATTAACTAAGCTTACAGTCCTGTGGTGTAGGATCTCCCAACTCCCTTGAAAATCTTGAAGAGTAGGTACCCTGCTTTGTCTTGTGGGACCCCACTGTGTTATATGCAGAGCTAATAATTATCTTAACAAAGCTCTCTCCTTTATAAAGGGCCATCTGTCTCTCAGTCTTTCTCTTGAACTTCTTCTCTCCCTCCCTAAAATCTAATTTCACTATAAAAATACAAAGGGAGCAGATAGTTCAAATTCTTAGGTGTCCAAGTAGGAAGAGAAATGGCTGCCGATCAGTGTTCTCACAAACAAACTTGAGAGCCACTGCAGGCCAACAACAAATATAGTTTTACCTGAGAGCCTTAAACATTACCAAATATTTCACAGCTTCTTGGAAATCAAATCGAAACCTAATTAAAACCTGTATTTCTATCAGGAATTTCTAGCATCAAAGATCTTCAGGATTCACTCCACATGACTGGTCAGGACACGGATGGAACGCTGACCTACCTACCACCATCTGGAACTCCCTAGATTCTGCCATGCCAGAACCAGAGAGCTTCCAAGTCTTTGATTCCAATGGAGACAGGAGATGCTCCTTCCTGGAGCTCAGAGTCCTCGTAGGTGTCTATTCTCATCAAACATGCTTTGAGATGGATGTGCATCCTGCACTACATAAACTGACTTACTTAACAAAAACAACACTTTACTTGATCATCCAGTAATCCTCCAAACTACCTGAGCCAACATACTGCCGCCTTTTGACTTGCTTGAAAAGGCCACTTAAAATTTACCTTTGAAATAGAAAATCATTTTACTTATATGATGCACAGAAAACAATGATTTCCTGGTTAGTAAGATCTTACACTTGTTTCCAGAAAAAAAATAAAGCCCTCTTTTTTTTCTGCCTTTCCTGTTTTTGAAGGGAAGATATTTTTTAAAACTGAAAAAATAAAATAGAGAGTAAGTTGCTGTTTATATTTCACATAAATTTGCCTTAAATTAGCCACACTTTGTAGAGCCTCAGAAAATATCTTTGCTTTAAAATGTAGGTCATTTCTCTTTGTAAATATTTAAAATGAGACAAAGATGGCAAGAGCATGGGAAAGTGGGAAGAGTGGCTTTGAACAGGATGCGATCAAATGAAGTGTGAAGAAGAATTGATTATGTGAACTGAGTAGCAACCGAAACTGTGCTCACATCTGCTTAGAGCATCCCTTAAGACCCAGGTGCAGCAGCAGTGCTTGGCCTGGGAGCTTGAGTGTGGATTTAGGGAGTGATGCCAGACAGACAGTGCCGGCTCCAGGA